ATTAGTGACACTTAGCCTGCATTTTAAAATCTTTATTTGAATGTAGCAATTAACATTTTTATTTTAAAACCTTTATTTTAATATGGCAACATAATATTGCGCTCTACAATATTTCTATGAATAAACCTCTGACAGAGATTTTCAGCCAATCACTGTGTGCATAGTTAGTATCCATAGCAACGCGGTCAACCCCGCCCCCTTATGCTTAATTTAAGACTTCTCTCTATTCCTTAGTAAAAGTTTGTCTCAGCAGCTTTGTGAATAGGTTTTAAGAGAAAACTCTTAGCTAAAAACCTTTACTGCTATTTAGTGCTTTTAGTTGTAAGATAAAATGTTTTGTGAATACGGGCCCAGGAACAGAACTAACACAACTAAAAGTCCATGAACGTGGCTTTTATGGCTTTTAAAATCTGAACAGATCTGAAAAAAAATTAGGCATCATACACAACTAAGGATCACACATTACCAGACTTTCAAGTCATTCTGAACACAACAAACTCACATAGAAATATGCTCTTTATTGCTAGGAGACGCAGCTCAGAATATCAAACTTCTTTGATATCTTCTGACTGATGGAATCATAAGGAATCAAAACTCTGTGCCTATCATACACTACATGATTTTCTGTGAAATCTGACTGCCCAAAATCTGCAGACTATCTATGAGTTCTGGCAACAAGCTTTGACTCATCCAGATTGTAAATTGGGGCAAAATTGTGTAATGTATCCCTGCCTATAAAGTGGCATTTTAATATCACCACATCACGAACAAAATCACATAAAAATGAGCAAATACAGAAGAGGTTTATTTTGGTTTTAGGTAGGAAACAACTGAATGAGATTATTAGGCAAATTTATGATATTTAACTCTAACAGCTATTATGTAATTATATTCACATTTTGACAGCTTCTGTTGCACTAGAATAATTTCATATCAGGGTCTTATTTATTTGTTTTATTTATGACTATATTTTTATAACACATTAGACATATTTAATTCACTCATCTCCATGCATGAGCAATTCTTAGGCAGCACTGTATTAATAGTGAGTGATATGGTTACAATCTGCCAATCTTTTTTCAATCATGTTTACAGTATTTTTACATGTCAGTGGTGTAAAATATACATATAGCAAAATTATTTGCTGTTTCATGCAATTGTAAATATTCATTTGAAAATTTAAAATATTTATTTAACATTTAATCCTAATTCTCAGAGTATGGCTGATAATAGTTTACACTAGTATAGATAATAGTAGATAATTAAATACGTTTTTTGGGCTGTTATAGAGGTGAAATGTATTATATACAAACCTAAAGATGCTTATGATGTTGCTCTCTTCTGGACCAACCTATCTTTTTTTTTTAATAATGCTACCTGTTTTACTATAACAATTATTTGGGTGGCCTGGTCTCAGGTTTAAACTCTAGTTCATTCTTGTGCCATCAAGTATGTGAATTGAACTCCCACACATAGCTCATTCTGAGAGCACAAATAACTGTGATCAGTTTGATAGCCTTTATCTGACAGTTTTAATTATTGTCAGTGGTTTTTGCATATAATGACATGCAATGGACAAGTCTTGAAACTGTGCAAAAACAATTTCTGAGGCTCTGCTTATGCATATGCAAAGAATAAAGTAGCCCTGAATGAACAAAACCTATATATCAAATTGTTTAACTACTTGGACCAGGTGATAATGTACTGTACTATACTAATACAATGCAACTACAGTAACGGAGGTGGTAATCAGAAGGTAACTGGCTCGATTAC